AATCAAAAATAGAAGGAAAAACAAAAGAAAAAAAGAAAGATATGTAGATTGTAAATGAATGAATGAAAAAGAATGTGCGAAAGTAGAAAAGACGGAAATGGATGAAATTTAACGCAGAGAGAGAGGGAGAGGGGGGAGAGAGAGAGGGAGGGGAGAGGAGAGGGGAGAGAGAGGGGGGGGGAGAGAGAGAGAGGGGGAGAGAGGGAGGGGGGAGAGAGGGGGGGAGAGAGAGAGAGAGGGGGAGAGAGAGAGAGGGAGGGAGAGAGAGAGAGAGCAAGAAAGACTGAAACAAAGAAAGAAAGGAAAAAGAAAGAAAGAGAGATAAGTGAAATTTCAGCGTAAGCCGAGAAAGGTAAAAAAGGAAGAAAGATGTACAACAGTGAGAAGAGAGGCAAAGCAACGTCAAAAATACAGAAATGGCGATTCGATTGGATTATCTACAGGCTTAATTGCTGGTGTTCCTAGATCCACCCTGACCTGGGTGGTAGCACTTGTTAGGGTCCCAGCTATGAGCAAAATAGTTAAGCCCAAAACTATGAAAATGTAAAATGTAGGTTTTTAATACCAAAAATACTTTGTAAAAAAATTATTACCAACAATAAAGTTTTTAAGAAAAAAATTATTACCAGCAATAAAGTTTTTAAGAAAAAATTATTACCAGCAATAAAGTTTTTAAGAAAAAAATTATTACCAGCAATAAAGTTTTTAAGAAAAAAATTATTACCAGCAATAAAGTTTTTAAGAAAAAAATTATTACCAGCAATAAAGTTTTTAAGAAAAAAATTATTACCAGCAATAAAGTTTTTAAGAAAAAAATTATTACCAGCAATAAAGTTTTTAAGAAAAAAATTATTACCAACAATAAAGTTTTTAAGAAAAAAATTATTACCAGCAATAAAGTTTTTAAGAAAAAAATTATTACCAGCAATACTTTTTTTTTTTTAAATATTACCAGCAATACAAACATTTACACATTTTTTTTTTTTAAATATCACCAGCTATACATTTTTTGGAAAAAATATTACCAGCAATACATTTTTAAAAAAATATTACCAGAAATAGATATTTTTGGAGGAAAAAAATATTACCAGCTATAATTTTTTTGGAAAAAATATTAACAGCAATAAAAGTTTTGTCGGCATTAAATAACCCATTGAGGTTGATATGTTGTAAAACAAAACAAACCAAACTAAGGAATAAATATTCTATTCATACGAACCTATCCAAAAAATCTTGTCGGCATTAAATAACCCACTGAGATTGATATGCCAGAAACAAAATAAACCAAACCAAGGAATAAATATTCTATTCATATGAACCCATTCTAAAAATCTTGTCGGCATTACCCATTGAGGTGTTGATATGCCGTAAAACAAATCAAACCAAACCAAACCAAACCTAGTCATTTAGAATAATTTTCTTCTTGATCTTCAATAGATGTCAATAGTGAAATCATTTACAATGCTTTCTTCTCTTGGATTATCACCTTGTCGTGGTGGGGAAGCTTTCGTGTTATAGTGATTCTGGGAGCGCTGCCGTCAGAAACTTAGTTTCTGGTAGGGCCACCCTAGACGGCAAGGTCGAAGATTAGAGATCAAAGAACGATCCAACCTACAAGACCCCGACGGAAGAGGCAGACCTGGTGGATGAAGTTAGCAAAACCCAACGGCCGTGAAATCGGATGAAAGCTGCAGCAAATCTCTCAAGACCAATTGTCTTGGTTTCCTGGTTACTGGATCTAGTTGGTCGATTTGTGAAGAACCGCGTGCTTCCTCGAGTGCAGCATCATGTACACGTTAAACAAACACGCACATAGGTGTCTTGGTTTCTGGACCAGTAGCAAATCGGTTACATTAGCCATCTCAGAGTCCACAAACCCAATTGATTGAAGCAAATACAACAAGAGCATCATCCTCGGCGGATAGCCACAATCTAGTAAAATCACTTTCTTTTATGTGCCGTGTCTCTTCAGAACGTAGGCGATTATGGCTCTCCACATCTTCCTGTCCCTTGTAGCTCTTAATAACTCTACCGTCCATTTACTCAAGCTCATCAAGTATGTTATGCACTGCTTTCCTTTGTCTCTATTTCCCTCAATCTTTCCTGTGGGTATCAGATTTTCCGAACCCTCGTTCCTCGTTACGTGTCCCATAAATTTCAACCGCCTCTTCCAGATGTTAAGTATAATATTCTATTTTGTGTCCATTTTCTCCAAAACCTCGTCGTTGTTCCCATGTTCGGTTCATGGTATCCTCAGCATCTTTCTGTAGAAACACATTTCTGTTGCTTTAAGTCTCTTTTTCATCTTTGAGAAGATTGTCCAGCATTTGTTGCCATACAGGAGGACAGATATCACTTAACTGCCACCAGTCACTCCTGCTAGGAGGAGAAGAGATGGATTCATATCTTTCACAGGGGTATTAGAATACATTTAAATCTATTGGAATTCGAACTCAGATCACTGTACACATTACATATGGGTACTTCCAATAATTCGCTGAAAAAGAGTATACCATAATGAAAAAATACCCCAAATTTGATAAAAAAAAAGTTTTATCGTCAAAATATTTATGTTATTATCAAGGGAAAAGACCAAAGTATTTTTTGATTATTTAATTCATTTTTTTTTTTAATTCTTTCTAGCACGTTCGAAATTTTGATTAAAAATCTTGTTTTTCTTGTGTCAGCGGGTGGGAGTAATATAAGAAATTTTAGCGTCTTTTTTGCAGTAAAAACATAGTGATTTGCAAATTCTTACAAAAATCAAATAATTGTCGGATTTTAATGAAACATTCAGGAATTATACATAAATGAAGGAAATTATTTTTTTAAATTTTATTTTTAGAAAATCTTGATAATTATTTTTTTTATTTACATCTGTTACACATCTGTTACACTTACTTAATTTTAACCTTTTTTTATTTATATTAATTAAAAAACACGACTCCTTGGAGAATTTAAATCATCAATTTGTTTTTGTCAAACGGAAACACCATTTCCCGAAAATATGCTCTGAATCATAAAAAATGCAATAAAACTATGACATTATGCAATTAGAAAAGCTTTTAATTACTTTTATAGATAAGATATATTAAGTACATTATTGCTGTAAGAAAAAAAAACCGACAAATAATGAATTTTTACAAGAATTGTTTTCATTTTTAAAATTTTTTTAGTTAGAATGATTTATTAAGTTTTAAATCTTTTAAAATTCTGTATTAATTTCACCCATTTAGATGATATTAATTTCAGCCTTTTAGATTATATTAATTTCAGCCTTTTAGATGATATTATTAAGTGAAAACTATATTTACTAATCATAAATGGAAAAGCTTAATATAAATCATCAATATTTTTAAAAGAATTTTGGGATTTTTGTATGTGTATAAACGTGCCGATTTTTGCAGATACAGATGTCCATACACGACATTATCATAAAATAAAAGCGATCACTATAGTAAATTTAAACCCAAAATATCTAAACTTCAATAAAACATTAGGATAATTTTAAAGATTTCTGAGTAGTTAAACATTATATATAAAAATCCCTCACGTTACACTGTTCAGTTATTTTTTACAGCTAACCCCCCCCCTCCTCCCCGTAAAACAACATCCGTCTGCCATCAAGTTGTCAAGACCCAAACAGTTTAAATAAACAGCTACCACTGTGATAAAAAAATGCATTTGTACGATATTTTAAACTTAAAGTAAATAATGTTTGTTTCAAATTAGATTAATTATATTTTAAATCAGCTAATATTCCTCAAAATAAAATTTCCGAAAAGTACATTTTATTTTTGGAAGATGTTTTTAAAAAAAAATTAATAAATTACAGTGTCAAAAATGAGATATTTTAGCAAAAATAAATAAATAAAAGAAACTCCTTCAAGTTTTTGAAATACGGCAAAGTATTTCGTTTATAGAAATATTAAATCTATTAGCTTGAAATTAAAACTAAAATGAAAGCTTCAAGAAAAATTTTAATTTTTAAAATTCATTTTAAACCTTAGGTATCGCGTTTTCTTTGAAAGTTTGGTTTGGTTTGTTTTACGGCATATCAGCCTCAATACGTTATTTAATGCCGACAATTTTTATGGCTGGTAATATTTTTCTTCAAAAATGTATAGCTGGTAATTTAAAAAAAAAAAAAATTATAAGTGGCATTTTTTAAAAATGTATTGTTGGTAATAATTTTTTTACAAAGTATTTCTGGTATTAAAACCTATTTTTACACTTTCATAGTATTTTGACCCCATTTTGGGGGTTAACTATTTGCCCATAGCTTGGACCCTAACAGGTGCTACCACCCCTGGGAACACTATAAATTGAGAGGTGGTTCCACACTCCTCAAAACCTCAAAACCTCCTGATCGTAGTTTATTGTCTTACATAGGACGCGAACGTCATACCCAGGACGCAGATGTAGTTTATCGTCATACCCAGGACGCAGATGTAGTTTATTCTCATACCCAGGACATTTCTGTGGAGGTACCTACACATATAACACGAACTAAGTAAAATTGACATTAATTGCTGATGGATGGCAAGTACATTCTGACAAAATTTAACTTAGAAACAAATAAAAAGAAAAGAAACAAAACTGTTTTATAGCAGTGAATACTGAACAGTCTCCTGATTAATGGAGAAAAACTTGAAGCAACAAAAATGCTGTTCTACAGAAGGATGTAGGGAATAACATGGGCCGAATATGTTAGCAAAGACGAAGTTCTAGAGATAATGGAAACCAAAAAGACTCTTATACTTAATACCGGGAAGAGATAATTTAAATTTCTAGGGCACGTAATGAGGAAAAAGGGCTTGGAAAATTTGATACTCACAAGGCAAGAAGGAGAGGGCAAAAAAAAACATAAGCTATCTGACGAGCTGGAGTGACTGCATGGCGGGCGTAAATCTAGACAGAAAACACGGTGTTGGGCCGCGAAGGCGGTTGGCTGTCAACACTGACAACTTACCGGCGACTCTTGCAGCCAAGCCGGCCCCAAATGTAATGACCTGTGTTCCTTTGGATCTTGGTGGAGGCCATGTAGTGTGGGCAGTGCACGGCCTTCATATACCATCGGCCAGGTCTGGAGAGGTTATTCTAGTTTCACCACGAAAGAACTGAATTTTGACCAAACAGGATACTACCTTTATCTCGCCGGACAGACGGATGCCCACGTTATCCCTCGACGTTTATCAGCCGTTAGAGTCCACCGCAAAACTTTTAAACCGGGCGAAATGTTCCAATTAATTTATTATTTTAATCTAATCATCTGATAAGACTTAACAAATTCTAGTCTGGGTTGTTTGTGGATCATTTTTCAGAGCTGGACGCTGCAATCTTTTTTTACGCTGAAATAATTACTTCATAATTGTTGACTGGTGTCTTTGAAGATATGAATTCCCGTTTCTGCCTTCAAATATGCAATAAACAGATTGTTTTTTGTTGCAGTACCCTGATAAGTTCCGCCTCATTACGGGTCTACCGTCTCTTTTCTGGGCTAGTAATCATTTTGTATCAGGCAAAAGAATTTTTCTTAACTGTATTCAATTAATTTTCTCAGCTATTACGTATTATACTTACAAATATATATTGTCATCCAAATCTCACATAGATAAACTAGAATTATTATACACTTACATACATAAAGCAATATTTACACTTTTTTTTAGTTAGGCTTGGACTCTGTTATTTTTTGAGCTTTGAGAGGACGCCTCACCCCCCTTCGAGTTCAGAACACCATAACTTATACTAACGTTGCTTAACAACCGAAATGCACGCGAAGCCTGCTTAACCAATGAAAATCAAATAACACAAAAATAAATATATCAGAATGTCTCTCTTTCTTTTTTTCTTTATTTCTTTCTTTTTCCATGTCTCATTCTCTCATGTTAGATTTATAAATGTTTCCTCTTTGTTCTTTATCCTATCATTCTGCCTGATTTCGATTCATATTCGATCTGTTTTTGATCCAAAATCATATATATATATATATATATATATATATATATATATGAGGAAATATACTCTTATGGTGTGCAATCTTTATGGGATAAAGTGCTCAATATCAGAGATAGAGCGTGTGTAAATATAAAAGTGAACATTGAAGTGGCGACACTTAGAGGCGACAGGCTGTTTTATACTAGACGCAATCGTCAGGCCTGACGACTGCGTCTAGTAAAACAGGCTGTCACCTCTAAGTGTTGACTTCAATGTTCACTTTTATATTTACATTTTAAATTTTTATATATATATATATATATATATATATATATATATATATATATATATATATATATATATATATATGTGTGTGTGTGTGTGTGTGTGTGTGTGTGTGAAGCCTTCAACACTTGAAACAAATCGTTGTGTTGGTTTTCTGACAGCTACATCAGATTAGTTCCAAACATATTCGGCTACTGCGAAAAACTCTACGAAACTGCATCAACTTCATTTTGGCACTTGGAATGTACGAACTCTCCAGGACAACAACTCAGCACCAGAAATAAAAACAGCTCTGGTCTCATTGGAGCTAAAGACGTACAACATTGATATAACTACACTGAGAAGTAACTATCAGTTGACTACATGAGAAAGCAAAATAAGACATCTAACAGTGTTCCTGCTGCACTTGGATACAATAGCTTTTCTGAACTGTTTGTGGTCTTTTGTGCAATTCTCGAGCCGGTCTCAAAAGTCATGCCTATCATAGGCATGCAGATGATTAGTTCGTAGTCGTCGGAACCTCAAACGTCGAACTTGACGGGAGTGTCCATCATATATATATATATATATATATATATATATATATATATATAAGTCAATATATATATATATATATATATATATATATATATATATATATATATATATATATATATATACAGAGCCAACCAAAAAATTTATACGCAATTCGGGAAAGGAAAAACTTGTATAGATATTGTAATACTAAATTTATTCAGACATCACGAGATTAACACAAATGACCCTTGAACTCTACAATCACAAGAGGTGCTCAAATGGTAGCCTTTAGCTTCCAGGCATTTATTAGTACAGCTAATTACTGTTTGGGAAACATTGACCAAATTGTCGACTGCGATTGCTACACATGCATTTTCAATTTCTTTTTTGAGGACGGCTAATGTAATGCCATATGTCATGAAAATATCGTATAACAACAGGTTATCGTAATTTGGTAAAACTTCAAAAGACAAGTTTTTTTCTTTTCTGAGTATACATTTTTTGTCGGACTCACTCTCTCTTTATCTATCTATCTATCTATCTATCTATCTATATATATATATATATATATATATATTTTGTACTTGGGCACCAATCCCTTTTTCATGCAAAAATCTCGCTAAAAACGACTGACAAGGGGCAGTGGTTAATTTTTTTTTTATATATAATTTGCTCGTATAATTTTTTTCTTTTCTGGACATAAATTATATAAAAATTGTCCGAATGTTTTACAAGCGCTTTCGGCTATACTTTAGTCCATTATCAAGGATGAATTTTATTTTACTTTTAACTGAATATATCGACTGTGCTATGCATGGATCTAGTGTTATAAGAATGTGGTATTTTCCAAACATGGTCAACACGTTATGGTCGTGTTTATAGTTGATATTATTGAGTGTTGGCTTTTATTATTTTTATTAATAATGATTCCATGCTTTATGCATGTGGATGAGGCTATATTTATATTATCAACGAGTATGTTACGGATAGAGTTAGGTAGGCCCTGAAAAAAAAAAAAATAAGAACATGAAAAATTATATAAAAATTTACTGAATTTATATATAGCTATATATATATATATATATATATATATAAAAAGAAAAACAGACCAATTTAAGGTACCATTATTATAATTTATTTCACCAGAGCCTTTTAAAGGCTCTGGTGAAATAAATTATTATAATGGTACCTTTAAAGTGGTCTGTTTTTCTTTTTAAATATTACATTGAGCTCTCAGGATTTCATCCTCCTTGGGATTACCCATACGGATTACCAAGTTCTTCATAACTTAATTATATATATATGTGTGTGTGTGTGAGTGTGTGTGTGTTTGTGTGTGTCTGTGTGTGTTCAAATATATTGATAAAATAGAAAAGAACCATTAGATTGATGATCCGAAGTTCTTTAGTATTTTTGTTTTATTTTTAAAAAACAGTGCTCGATACACAAGTAGAGACTAGATTATAATTAAATCAAATCAAATTACCGAAAAATTAAATTAAAGTTCCAAAATTTGCTTGAAAATGAAACAGAACTAGATACTTTAATTTAATTTCTGTAATTGAATTATAAAGTTTTAGCTTCTGTTTTTGAAACATGGTAATTCCTGTGTAGCGATGGAATCATATTTTTAAAAATATAATTATATATATCCACGGTCACAAACTCACATCTCTCCAACCAAATATGTTAGCTCTTTCTCTGATATTGAGCGCTTTCTAATAAGTACCATATATATAATATATAAATAATTATATATATATATATTTATTTATAGTTATAAACACACACTTTTCACACACACACACACACACACACACACACACACACACACACACACACACACACATATATATATATATATAATTTATATATATATATATATATAGTATATATATATATATATATATATATATATATATATATATATATATATATATATATATATATATATATATATATATATATATATATATATATATATATATATATATATATATATATATATATCTGATTAAGAAAAGATAACCCTTTCAAACTCTCAGTAAGTCTTTTGAAATTTACGCAAATTATTTACAAACATAAATTGTTTTAACTTCACTATAAATACTTAAATAATGAAATATACTTTCTTATATTTGAACATACATTATAACAACACGCTACCTTCTGATCCAAAGTATAACTGACATTTAATTTATCAAACACAAAAAAACATTTAAACAATTTAAAATACCACCATATAATTAAGATGTACTTGATAAGAAGCTACTTCGCATATTAAAGTGGAAATTACTCCAAGAGAAACGTTCAAGATAAGAGTATCGGAAAAAAAATGCGGCTAAATTGTCTTACGGCAAAAATCCTATACCGGGAAGTTTTTTACGGTGAAAATTACGGAGGCGAGTTTTCCAACGGCAAAAATGTTTACGGCGAATGTTTCGGATTCGGATCGCCTGTCGTGTTTTGTTTTGTAGGCGTTAAAATTTACAAACCATTATTTATCTCAGTAATCAACTGATTGAAGACAATGTTTACAAAATGAACAACTTACAAAATAACAAACAGTAACTATTTCCAAAATGTTCACTTGAGTTTAAGACTTTGTCATTGAAAACCTCTTCAGGATGCAGGCGGTTATTGCCCTCCATAGTTTCCTTCTTGTTTTTTTCTCCTCGGTTTGAAATTCATAATTTTTCATTCTCTTAGACTAGTTGCCACCCAAAGCCAGAGAGCCAGAGAGCCATAACCACCCTACTGTTTAACCCCTAGCTGGGGGGAGAAGTGATGGATTTATGCATTTTCCAATGGAATTTCTTAGAAAGTGAAAGAAGAGGACGAGGTTGGAATTTGAACTCGATTCGCCGCTACTGGTTTTGGCGTCGGTAATGTCTATATATAACCAAATATTTTAACGTTACAAAAAGAATATTAGAGTAAATTGTCGTGTATGATAAGAAATAGGGTGCAGTATATAGTATTAGTAATAATAGTTGTTGTTGAATCAGGAGGAAGTAAAAGCCGTAATAAAAAAAATATGAAATATGTGCTTTTACCGAGAAAAATATGTCGAAAGTCCTAATTCTGCGCAATAGACGTGTAACTTAACGCCTGTCTCAATTTGAATTGTAAGCAGACATTCTGGGTGAGGGAACATAAAACCCAGGAAAAAAAAAACTCAAGAATTTGAGAGAGAGAGAGAGAGAGAGAGAGAGAGAGAGAGAGAGAGAGAGAGAGAGAGAGAGAGATATTTTGCAATCTGTTATTAATTTTTCTTATAAAGAACAAATAGGAAATGTTTATTAACCTAACGTGTTTCACTTTTATTAAAGCTACATCAGAAATTGAAAGAAAACATACAAAAAGACAAAACTTTGGTATATCCATATTTGATCTGCATTTGATCTTTAACTCTTAAATCTTAACTTTATATATATATATATATATATATATATATATATATATATATATATATATATATATATATTTATTTGTTAAAAAATATGGCTCCTTCTCTACATAAAGAGTTCTCATGTTTCAAAAACAGGAGCCAAAAACTTCAATATACTTATTAAAATAAAATTGAATTAAAGAATCTTAAACTCTTATGTAGCGAAGGAATCATGTTTTTAACAAATAATTATAATTTAGATTCTACTTTTGTACTGTTTTTAAAAATAAAAACAAAAATACTAAAGAACTTCGGATTATTTACCTAAGATGTTCTTTCCTATTTTTCTATATATTTGCACCCCCATATATATATATATATATATATATATATATATATATATATATATATATATATATATATATAAATAAATGAGGAGATAGGAAACGCTTATCAATCTAACATGTTTCACTTTTATTAAGACTTTAGCAATGCACTGGATTAAGAAATTTCTTCTATTTCTCAGGATTTTTTAAATATATAGCTGAATAAAATATTGTTTCTTTTTAAGAAGTTTCCATGTTTAAACAAGATGAGTTGGAATCAAATACAGATATATATTCAGTAGGTTAATTGAACATTCTTGGTAAATTATGGTAGATGCTAAGTGACATAATTTAATGTCTAATGAAAGTGAGTAAATGGTGTTGATTTTTTTTATGAATTTGATATTTAAATTATTTTAGTATTGGATAAATTTATGTATTATATAATTTTTAAATAAGAGGAGGTCATGAATTTAGCAGTTTTCTTTTAATTTTTTAAAAACTTTTATAGTCATGTATGTTTTATGTTTTGAGATAAGAGACGAAATGCGTCGGCTAAAATAAGTTTTCCTTTTGTCTTTATTCATATTGTCATTTTACAGATATATTTTTGTTATATCTGAATTCTATGTTCACACAACTACAACTACGAGGCCCCTGATAAAAAGATTGTAGGTTTTGAGGAGCGTGGAACCACCTCTTAACTGTTGTTGTTCCCAGGTCCACCCTGACTCGGGGTGGTAGCACTTGTTCGGGTTCCAGCTATGGGCAATTAGTAAACACCAAAACAAAAGGTGAAGATTATGAAAGTATAAAAACACATTTTTAGAGTAAAAATACCAAAAACACATTTTTCTATATTAAAAAAATGCCAATAATACCGGTTTATAGTAAAATGACCAACAATACATTTCATCTGAAATTGAAGGCAATTGTGTTCAAAATATTTAGATTTCGGCATTAAATAACTCATAGAGGTTGATATGCCGCTAAACAAACCCAACCAACCAAATTTTGTACGCACACACACACACATACGTATTCAAGTAATTATACACACACACACACACACACACACACACACACACACACACACACATACGTGTGTGTGTGTGTGTGTGTGTGTATAATTACTTGAATAATATAGACATATTGTGTCGACCTATTTTTATACTAATCCTTTCTCGCTATCTAATCAGTTTCTTGAAGTTAAGACAAAATTCCTCAAGAAAGGCGCTGTAGTTTTATTTTTTATTTTTATTTTTTTTTTAACCCAAGTACTTTCGACCTTTTCCAAGATCATCTTCAGGGTTAAATTACAAAGACAAATTTATTGCAACTGCAATAAAATCTGCATTCCCTTGACATAGTGATTTTTAAAAATACGTGTGAACGCGTTCTGTAATAGTTATTTTAATTTTTTTAAAAATTTATTCATTGTAGTTGTGGAATGTTTTTTACATAATGTCAAATTCAACCAACCAAGACTCAACACAATTTATTACGATTATAGCAACAACATATTAAAGTGCATTTATCATTTATATACTCATGCCATTTTACATTTCTACCAATTCTCCGACCATTCCCTTATTTGAAACGCTTGTTTTGTAAAAAATCACATAACTAAAACGGCCGTCCTGGGTATGACGATAAACTACATCCGCGTCCTGGGTAAGACGATAGACTACGTTCAACAGCAAAGCCTCTGATCAGGAGGATTTGAGGAGCGTGGAACCAACTCTTAATTCCTGGTGTTCCCAGGTTCACACTGACTTTGGGTGGTAGCACCTGTTAGGGCCCCAGCTATGGGTAAATTGTTAACCCCCAAACTAGGGTTAAAACACCATGAAAGTGTAAAAATAGGTTTTAATACCAGAAATACTTTGTAAAAAATTATTACCAGAAATACAATATTACCAGAAATACATTTTTGAAAAATAAAATATTACCAACAGTAAAAACTTTGTCGGCATTAAATAAACCATTGAGGTTGATATGCCGTAAAAGAAAACAAACCAAACTAAAACGGATAAATCAAACTAAGCGATATATTAAGAAATACAAAAAATTTCGTAAACAAGCAAAATGGAATACAGAACTGCAGTGAACGCTGGACTATTTTCTGACGGCCGAAGAAAAGAATTGTTGCGACAGTGATGCGGTTCGATCGACAGATGCCGAGAATATCATGAACATAGCATATGGTCAACGGGGAAATTTTAAGTAAAATAACAACTAAAAGAAAACTTACATACTTGCGATCCGAAAGAGAGAGTTGAAATTCCCGAACACATAATTAGGAAACAAGGCTTGGAGAATTTAACAGTGGCGGTGGTTGACCGAAAAGTTAGAGGAACCTACTTTAGGTGCATGTGTGAAAAGTTGGCTGAACAAAGACAAAGTGATTTGGTAAATGGTCGGTTGTTAATTAGAGCAACAAAAGGCAGGAATTTGTGGAGAACCATGGCCGCCCACGTTCTAACGGGACATGATACTTAAAAGAAGAATGGATTCAAATCTGCAGACAAAAAAAAATGTAATTGAGAAGATAAAACATTTCTCATAGCAACAAAAAATATTCTAACAAACAAACTTGAATTTTATTAGCATAGAATTGAAAAGATCAAAAGATCTAAGCGCCCTGCTTATTTTATGATCTTCCCAAAGTTACAGCTTACCGTATTTCTTGTGTTACGTGATCTTAATATTTATTACTGATTAAATACAAAAATAAGCTACGTGGGCTATCGAAAAGGCTGAGGAATTTAAAACAGTTCCCGTGAACTGAATGTAAAGCGAACTTTTGCGGCCAACTTCTCTTGTACCGCTTGTATTTTTATCTACTGTGAACGAAATACGTCGAGGCAATTCTGAGAGAATTAGAAGTCCTACCAGAATTTATTACTGGTGGCCACAATCTTAACAATATAAGATATGCAGATGACACAGTGTTGATAGTAGACACAGAAACTGCAATAAAACCTATAGAAGGTAGCGAAGGAAAGCGGCTTTAAGAAAATTAAAATAAAAACATTATGTATTCCTGGTTATTATACTAACTAGAGTAAAGCATTGTAAATAATTTCACTATTGAAATCTATTGAAGATCAAGAAGAAAATTATTCTAAACGACGAAGAATTAATGTCTGTTTTATTAACACAAATAGGGTTATATGTCTAATGTATATGTATTCCTGTTGATTTTACTAGTGAAGAAAGGACGAAGTATAAACTACAAGACAGAATGAATGGTTGTTAGCAAAAGGGACAGCCCAAAATGTGAATTACAAATCGGAGATGCCAAAATCAAACAAGTACAGAAATTTGAATATCTGTGAAGTGATTTAACATAGGACGGAAAATGCGTCACTGAAGCCGTTTTGGGATGGCCAAAGATGCATCCCAAAAGCTAAGCAGAGTATTAAAAAACAGAAAAACTTCGTTATAATCAAAGAAAAGAGTACTGAACTGTTACGTGATATCTGTCCTTTCTGGTGGTGAATGCGAGACAATCTTCTCAAAGATGAGGAAGAGACTTGAGAATTGGCCAGTAATATTGGTCTTCCAATATGGCAGTGCACGCTGGACAATCGGCTAACAGCTGAGAGGACACTGAAAACTCATGGACCTAGCATGTGATCAAAGGCGAAATGTTAGAGAAAATGTGAACAAAATAGACACATTTATACTTAACGCCAGGAAGAGACACGTTGAAAGGTACAGGGCACATGATGAGGAAAGACAGCTTGGAAAATTTGATACTCACAAGACATAATGAAGGCATGAGGGGCAGGGGAAAATCGCATATAGCCTACCTCGTGAGCTTGAGTAAATGAATGAAAGAACAGGGTTTAGGAGAGATAGCAAAAAGACAAAATTTACTAAGTTCCGCAAAAGACCGGAAATTGTGGAGAGCCATGATCGTCAACGTTCTGAAGGGGCATGGTACACAGAAGAAGATTACTTGTCTGGAATAAATTAATTAGTTTATCATTTTGCTTTCATTATACACAAAACCGTCAAAAATTATATTTGAACTCATTTAAGAAGGCGAAATGCATGGTTGTTAGCAAAAGGGACAGCCCAAAATGCAAAATTACAAATCGGGGATAGTAAAATCAAACAAGTACAGAAATTTGAATATCTGAGAAATCTTCTAACATAGAACGGAAAATTTGACACTGAGATCTGAAGACGTATTGGGATGGCGAAAGATGCATTCCAAAAGCTAAGCCGAGTATTCGTTTCTTTTTATGTTCCGTGTCCTTTCAGGGCGTAAGCGTTCATGGCTCTCCACTTCTCCCTATCCCTTGTGGCTCTCAATAAGTTTCGTGCCTCTGCCGACTCCCCCAGACCACGTTCTGCCATCCACTTGCTAAAGCCCGCCAGATATGTCATGCGTTGCTTTCTCTTGTCTCTTTTTCCCTCTATTCGACCTGTGAGTATCAGATTCTCCAGGCCCGCCTTTCTCATCACGTGTCCCAGAAATTTCATCTACCTCTTCTTTATAAGCTTCCTTCTTGTTTTCATCCTCTCCAA